CAACCACGTTCCCCCTATATAGTCGTATATAATTTTTCATAGTAAATTTTTTTACTACATAGTAGCCGGATGGTAGCTTACCTGGAGGATGCCCATCCGTTATCCGTAGCTCAGCTGCCTTTCACCACTTGCATAATTCTCCTTTTTTAATTTTATGTTTTGCGGCACAGTAGCTGAGATGTTTCCCACTTCTAGCTAACGTGTATAATGAGGATTATGATGATGCCAGCAGGTCATCAGTGCATTCCCGGTTATCCACAACACAAAATATGGCATCAAAGTATCCACCGTAATAAAGCAGGCTGTTGATAAGCTGGTTTAGCTGGCTGTTATCCACCTTACTCATGAAGTGATCGGCGAGCAGCGGCCCAAAAAGAGAATGTAAAGCTGCTCCGTCTTTTTGTCTTAAAGTGTCCCACTAAATTGAATCTGAATGTTCTTAGCGCACGCCAGTATAATTTGCCGCAATCGGTCATTTGAAATTCGGAAATTGGTGCTGTGAAGTTGATTAAATTTGCAGAGCTTATCAAGGTTCTCTTTTAACGGTTCGTTCGTGAAAATGACGCGACATTTAGTGGAAGCATCTTTCATCCAGCTAGCTCAATTTGTTGGATGGAGTCAAGAAACTAAAACATTCTCGGTGGTTGTACCTAACGAAGACTTTCTTGACCGCCCCGAGCCGTTTGACAAACCACTTGGAAACAAATTATAAAATGAGTTTTATATGTCTAGTATAGATCTCAGCGGCACGCCTTGGTTTTCCGATATTTAGTAAGCCATGGAGCATCCGAATCACTGTTCCAATGTGTTTGGCGTATTCAAGGTTATTAGTTATTGTTATGCACTTTTGAATTGCGAGCTTCCTGTCTTTCTCGTTTTGCGCTCTTCGGAAATTTGACGCTTCTCCGAGGATCTTATGGATCTTATCAATATAAACCGACTTGATCATCAATAAAATCCCGGCTCCTTCATCTGTCCTAGACAACAAAATGTTTGGTTTTCTTGTGTTTATCCAGAGCGTCCAAATCCTTGTACTTTAGAGGATAGTTGATGATCGGTTTGTACCTCCGATTTTTGCAGGATTTGTTTACCAATGTGGATTTTTACAACTCAACTGCTATGGCAGAAGGTGGCCTCAAAGTAGAAGCATGAAGACAGATATTTTCAAATTTGACTTCCCACTAACAGTTGCGTAGATTTATTTTCAACAGCTCCGAAAATTTGCTCTGGAGCCAGGTGTAAGTGCCACGAGTTCAAAACGGTCAGCCAGTCTTGGTGGAAATTATCTGCAAATTGCATTTCTAGAGGAGTTCAAATACTATATTTTTCAAACCAGATACTGGAGATTAATATTCAAGATGAGTCGATAATTGCCAGCAGATCAATTGGTCAGATGTTGTTTTGCAGGATCAATGACCTCCGAAAAAACTTGCAGGGCTGACCAAAGTGGTAAATACGTATTTTGGCTGGCTAGGCCTTATTGAATTTGTGATGCTTGCGCGGGTTTCATTTTCGTGCTTTTCATACGTTTGTGGAAGTTAACAAATCTTCAAAGAAGGAATATTTGGATTTTTGTGTTTATGAGTTTAGGTGGTTGTAGTCTCGTGATTAGCTAGTATATACTACAACTCCCCAAGCGCAGACTATGAACATTTACCAGTTTACTATATAGCCTTACTTGCTATAACTATGCTTGCGTACAAGTGGAATGAGCATTCTTATCCAGCGGATAGTACAATGTAGTATGACAAATCCCACAAGGATCTAGATACCTGGTTAGCAAGGCTTCTGCCGTGATTCCACGAGAATCCACCAACTTGGCGCTCTGAATGGAGAAGATTGTTTTACTTGTACATCGGTCGCTACAAATGCTACAAACTTAATTATTTCAACTTAGAGATCGGCCACAGAAAGCCCTAGATAGTATATATATATAGTGATGTTTTGACAAACCGGTGCTACAAATCTACTATAGACAAGAGAGTGATTGGATGAAAGCCAGCAAACGAGTATCCAATAAATCTGGCGAAATTTACTCACACAGTCTGAGAAACTACTGAAGGTGTCAGGATGCACGAACAAGTTTATTTTGGTCCTCAGCTATTCGTAATTCGAAGCTAGAACTAGAGCAAAATCAGCCTTACAACAGTTGAGAATCGCATCCTGGTCACAACGCTGTTATCTTCATCCTTACATATTGAACTGGATGCTGCATATGCTAAAATGGCATTATCCTACATGATTCAGTTGACACATTTAAAGGAATGGAAGGTGAATTTTACAAGATAATTTTGCCAATGAGCTTAGTAAGGGTGATCACACACTACTATTCTATAAACGGTGTGGACGATAGTGCAGACATTTTAACCTGAATATATGTAAACATACAAATAGGGGAAAACTTAAATTTTTTTCAAAATCTGACAAAAGAGCTGCTCTAGGTAACTCGGTGCAATATTTCTTTGAATCAATAAGCGATTCCTAAAAGGTAATCAGAATATAAAAAACTTACCAGAACTTTGGATCTACCCGGTGTTTTCTAATAGGTCCATAGGCGTTAGGTTGATAATCGGGCTTAGTAACTGCAACATTTCTCAGTATACTGCCAGTAAACTGCTAGACCTCGTCACTGCGCAATACTAGTGATATAAACTGAACTATCCCAATAGGCCTGTCGAGCAAGATGCACCACGCCAAATTTAGGAATAAACAGCTACATTGCTTTTCCTACAAATCATTTAGCCATTTTAAGAAAGCAACCAATGCAAATATTATTCATAGTCAGCAACTTACATACGTACAGCGGCAGAAGTTAAGGAATAGGAATCGATAATAGCCACGTATTAGAAGCTTCATAATCGGTGGCATAACCACCTGTGTCCGGGCCTACATCTGACAGTTACTTTTGCACTGCTCGATGCTAAGCAACAAAAGTATGTTCAATAATCCTTGTCGATGCAAAATTTGTATGCTGCCATAAATGAATTCAAAGGTGTAAACGCAGAGGGCGGTAACTTGAGAGAATTTTATGTCAATTGGTTTCATATGGCAATTTCCTGTTTCGTTGAAGTAGCAGCACCTCCTTATTGATTAATGTCAGAATCTTTAACCGGTTTTTGCCCCTTTGTATTGCTGTGTAGGGAGCAGCCGTTTTTTAGGAACATCAGATCGTTTTGCTTTTCAAATATTCCCTACCTCATATCTGTCTTTTTTGACTGAATTTTACCTGAGGTAGCAAGTATATTGGCCGGACTAAGAGAAAGACACCAACCAGGAGTAGGCAACATTTTCCTTATCGGTTATGGTTGAGTGGGTTAAACGTAGCTGAGAGTTTGATTACTCGTCACTTGCTCGGGGTCTCATGTGCAGAATTCCGCGTAGATCCTTTAAACTCATCAGTAAACAAAGTACTTTGACCCTGCTCCGGTTTACTGGAACTTCCATCCAAAGGAAATAGAAGCTTAACTTATGTTATAACTTGGTCTCATGACCAGCCTAGACGTGCAATGGCAAAACGCAGATTCGGATTACTTGAAGCTATGACGCTAACCGCTAGAATTTCCATGGGACCCAACCGCGTATATATGTAAGTGGCTGACTATGTTTGTACAAGCAAAATAAACTGATTTCTCTGTTTCCCGCGAAATTTTAGTTGCTCAGCAATATGTCCAAATTCTTAAAAAAGTAATGGCTAACAATTTTAATAAGTCTCACATGATTTCAGCCATTTTGCTTTACTAGTGCAACAAACAGTCCAAATTTGTAATTCCCAATATTCAGAAGACCACTTAACAACATACTGTTGTATTTGGATTACTTAATAATTACTTAATAATATAAGGTACGCACATTAGCATTTTTATGTTCTCGAAATAAAAGGTGTATGCATTTCACATACTTATACAAGTGTCGGGACTACATACTTATGTACGAATGCAAGATTTGGCGAGTCCAGCGCAACGTGACTTGTTTTTCTGACACACATTTCAGCTGCTAATTTACAGCCTGTTCATAATTCGGTACATGCAAGCACTTACTTTTAGACCCGTCAAAACCCTCTGACCCACTACAATTTTATGAAAATTCGTTTCTGCCAACAACAGCATATAACAGTAACCTTTAACGCGCGATTGCTGTTGCTTATCGCTGATAGAAAAGTGTACCCAACGTAAAGTTGTCCCGTAGTAATCAGTACGTCATTATGAAGAAACATGCTAATTAACGGGTTTAACCCTTTGGATTTATATGCCCTCAAGCGTATCTGTATAAATAATCACTAGTAAAATACTACAGTCAGCCACAGTCAGTTAATTCGTTCCTTGACCTATGATATTCTTCAAACATCAGATCTGTACCACATTAGCTCCTGTTAAACTGCGATTGTTCCCACTGGGAATCAACACCTGCAATATACTAGCACAAACCCGAACCTATTCCTCGTGACATATAATTTAGTTTATCCACTGAATCAATTTTCTCCGCAACCTTGTATTAATATGCGTAACTCACAAGCGTTTTTGAATCGTCATGAATAAATAAGCGTCCGAGATCATGGCGGTGATATCCGCATTGATCTCACAACATCAGATTACTGTCGTTACCGAACTACATGGTGATTTGGATGTTTATTATTATGATCATTTGGCTTATGTTAATATATATATATGGTTGGCATGATTTTGTAAAATTTAACAGTGGTTATAGATATTACAATCTGCTTGATGGCACTATCAGCGTAATATCATACCTGCGCTCTTCAGAGACTTTAAGATATTTATACATGTGTTTATATATATAAATGTATATACGTATATATATTGAAGACTCTGAAGAGTGCAGGTATGCTATTACGCTGGTAGTGCCATCAAATAGATCGAAATATCTAAAACCACTGTAAAATTTTGCAAAACCAAACCAGAGAACGGATCAAGCTTCAATGTTACTTCCTAAAACACGACCATAAACCTTGAATTGAGAATAAGGAACATGATTCGCAGCATGAGCAAAATAAAAGTTGCATGGACTACAAGCATGCGGTAGTTAGATTTGGCTCATATACCTATCATACTGGTCACATGGTTGAGAAAATATCAAGTTACTCACAGGCTTCAACGATCACAGCCTCTTTACTGACAACCTTTTTTGGTCGCTGTAATTCCAACACTTTGTTCCAAGCTTCACACCGACATACATATGAGTCAAACCACTCTTCCACCTCTTTGGCGCGTACTTGTAATGTCAAACGCCACCTTTTGCCGTTTGGATCCACCCTGTTTTCCGAGTCCAATCGCGTGACTTGTAATCGTCCCGAATCTTCGGGTCCCTTATACGGTATAACCTTTTCAGCGCATTCAATCACAGCATGGGAAACCGGTTCAGCAATGCACTCCACTGTTGCTGGGTGTCCTTTCATGGTGTAATACAATGGCTTTGGATGCTGTATGAAGAAAGGAACTCCATCAAGATGGGCCTCATCCGGTTGAACTAGGTCTTTTTGTGAGGATCCTGTAAAAATTTGGATGTATATCAAAAGTAAAACGGGTTTAATAATCCAAGGATGTATGAATAAGTGGAAGGTTAAGTGCTTCATAATAAACCAAAGCAGTGGAGGAAGTTCCTAACCGTATTCACATGTTTGGCCAGTTTTGACTTAAAGCGCATTTCGTCGCATTTATAAGTGTATTTGATTAATACATTCGACCAATCGGCTATCAGCTAAATGGTACCAATCAGGTTTGAGTAAGGCTTGCACAACAAACCGGCATAGCCACACGGCAATCAGTCCAGTGTAAGTGACCTAGATTAAAAACTCGCATTACGCACATCGTCAATTTCTGTTTTGAAACACTTCTTAGTAGATCTATGCCTAGTCGCAATGCAAGCTCCTTTCGAGGATCTATAACCAGACAGTAACATTATAGTAGTTTGATTAAAGCCATTTAAAGTGTTCACATGCTACGCAAGTTAAAACGAATTTCATGATATAAATGCTAAAATAATCTGCAAATCTTTCAAGCTCAAAAAGCATATTTGAGCGTCTGCAATATAATAGCTGGCACACGGTTAAGGAAAAGCGAAACTACTCTCAACGTAAGGTTCTCTGATCTAATCGGTAAAGAAACATGGCTTAGGCTGTTGTCATTCTTAAATAGACCGAAAACACTGGGTGACCATTGGAAAATGAGTGAAACTATCCTCCCCACATATTATTCTTAGGTTAATCCCAGACCATTACCAAAATATTTGTATGTTTCTCATAGAGTTCGTATCGTCTAACACAGGTGTTAATCAATCTTACGGCATAGCTGAGACATTACCTCAGATTAATTGACGGACACAGCTTTGGATGATTGCGCGACATGCTTATTTCCAAAAGCGGTTTGCATGTGACAAGATATATCAACGATATGGACAACACCGAGAAAGGTTTTTCTTTTAGTGCACAGTATTTTGAATGCAAAAATATTGTATGGTTCGAGAAGTGGTGTTCAACATAGCCAAGAAGACAAGTTATGCTGAGCTAAAAATGCTGTTGCATACTATGTGTTTTCTTCTTTTATAAATTAATCAGGTACACATTTTTAGTTGTTTTCTGTCCAGTGATACCATAAGCATATATGGATCATAGATCCGTTGCAAGCAACGAAATGTTATTTTCCACCTCAGGTCAAATTTATTAACTCGGTATATATTCCATCCGTTATTAGCAAGGATATGCTTAATATTTTACATAATAATCCCCTCTTTATACTCCAAGTAACGTTTTGTTACAAGTATCTATATACTGCGGAATGAATGCAGAATTAGCTCCGAGTTCATGGTGAACGCAACTGCCAGCTCAAATGAGAACATTTGCCGTGTTGTAGTCAATTAGTGCATCTCACAGGATCGAGTAGATGATGTTATTCAGAGCTAACTTGCTTATTTACACGTTTTCGCTAGCCGAAATTGTTGTCCTTTTACTCTCGTGTGGCATGTCAACAGAAATGTGGTAATCTTTAGAGCCAATGTGAACAAGCTCTCGGTTTGATTCATTATTGCGGATGGGTACTGGTACAACCAGGTTCAGTGTGAAATGCAAACACTAATCTAGGCAATGAATGATGCAAGACGACATACCAAATCAGGCCAAGCTTAGTTCATCTTTCCGGTAGTAAATTATTTGGTGATTTAACTGTTAGTTAGTATAATTAACTGCAAAGGTTGCTTGATGCTTAATTTTTTAACAGATAGGTAATATCACTGGCAACACATGCCATACTCTATATCGCATACTAGTGTAGCTAAAATGGAAAATATGTCTGGACTCCGGATATATGTTGCCCACTCTGCACATGACAAGGTTACATCCCCCAGAAAAAGAAATGTTTTTACGGCAATCCGTGACTATCGAATAGGAAGGGCTAGTCTTACACAGTATTCCTCAGATACATGCCCTCAACCTTGTATCCATTTCTCAAGCTGAAAGCGCTTTTAATGGTCAATGTAGCTTTGCATGTGCGAAAATGTACATGCTGTTCAGCAGGTCAAAGGTAACAAAAGGAAAAGATCTTTTCCATTTGATAGCTACCCCCTAGGTATGCTGCTAAGAAATAATATCAAATATAGATTACTCAATTTGCATCTTTAATACGCAACAAATCTTAGTCGCTTCGCATAAATAACAGATTTGTAATTCCAGTTGTAATAGATGGACCCTGAAGTCGTTCCGCTTATGGATAGGTGAAATCCTGGATACGAATATAATTTATGATAACCATTTGAATTTGTAAGTGTGTTCTAATGATTTGCGGTCCGTTTTATACATACGTTCGTTAGTTTCTTCTTCTTTCTTTTTTGTTCTTCCATTATCTCCTGTATATATCAAAGCGAAATGTAAATGCATTTCTAGGAAAAGGAATCTAGAAACCTGACGTGCATAACATTTTGAATTTTGAAGACGCGCACACGTCAGTAATGAGTCTAAATGTCAAATATTTATTACCGAGTGCACTACCTGTTTTGCACCATCAGAATGTGCGAATATATCAGGAAATGCAATGTGTGGACCCAACTGACACAATTCATCATGTGTGTCAACATAGTGCGTTTGTATCATTGTCTGCAACTGAAGAGCCTGTATCACCTGCGGAACCTTGGAAGTTGGTCATTTGGTTTAAACATTAGACCACCGGATCTAATATCAGTGTTCCCCATGTTCCTTTTACAACAGCTGGAAATTTGTTTTGGTATCTGATTGTTGGGCTGTCTCTTGACCTTATGGACCCTGTTTGATTCCGATTTAATTGATGTAAATCAGCTCATATTAAAGTACACATCCTCAATACAAGTCGTCGATTTAATCTATCATACACATACAGGATATTCGTAGTTTACCAGAAGAACCCACCGTCCGGAATGAGAAACGCTAATGATTCCCTCATATTTATGGACTTAGGCGCGTGACGTCACAGCGCAACAGAATTTGTTGACAAACAACTGAAGACAAATCAGTTGCGTTGAACTTTAGACAATACTGGCAAAAGATTTTTTTCAAAATACATGGCGACGTTTCCAGGAAGCATAGAAACTATGATTCCCAGCATCATTAATCCCTCAAAAAATGATATAATGTGTATGAATATTTTCCGAAAAGTTTATCAGTAATTTAAGACTGAGATTGGACATCCACACAAAATAAGCAATATAGGCTTTAAACTTAAGAGGAGATGTGGTTGAATCGTGAAAATCCGGCAATTTCCACCTGAGTAATTTTGACAGTTCTAAAATTAATGACTTGTTTTCTACTTTGTTGAGGAAAATAACATTGAGTTATGTCAAATCAATAAGTGAAATTAACGAACCGATTTTGACTTTCTGTTCATCAGTAGATGAAATACCGAATCTATGTTACAATGACACCCATAAGTCTCCACTGTTGAATAGATAACGTTCTATGTCACGAACACAAAACGGCGTTTTCGTGTTCAATCACTAAATAAAGGGGAGATAAAGCAGCTGTTGTATTACCCTCATAATATTTAACTTTGACAGATTTTACTAGAGACAGACAATGGATTCGTTCTATCAACTTTTACGCCAAAATAATGCAAAGACAACATTCGTTCATCTAGATTTTTGCTATACTAACTACAATTTTCCTTTGGATTTCCTATTAACGACAACAAAAATGAATCTTGTGGAGAGCAAACAAATTATAACGCTTTTCCGACAGGTAAGGTAACATTATGGATCGCACGTGGAATAGACAATCCAGGCTTGGCGACATTGTTGTTAACGCCATGCTGCTGCGCTCAAAGCTTCGCAACGTAGGGCAGGAAGAATTGTGGGAGAATTGTTTCGTTTCTCTTACCAAAGCTGTCTGCATTCCTTAGGCTTGTACAGCGGAGATTATCGGAGCCTGCGCTTAGACCATATAACGGTTTACCAATACAGACTAACTCCATTCACGCCTGTCGTGATATCCTGCAAGTCAGCCACATTGCCAGCCTGAGAAATCATCAGCTCAAACTGAACAGGTACCACAGTCCAATTGATCGCCGCAACTTCTATTCTCTCTTCTGATATCCAGACCGTGGAATCCTCTTACTTTTCTTGCTCTTTTCCCCCCGCATTAACGCTTTTATGAAACAATTGTACCATCCTATTCCATTTACCTTAACCAATCACATGTTTACCTGACGAAAATTAAAGGATAGCTTTTCCCATTGTTTATCATTTCTACTGGTAGTTACCTTGCTTTGTTCCTCACAGCCATTGATTACGCTTGTTTCAAGGTATCTTCGTGTAAACAACTCGTTTTTTAACTCGATCGATTTGGGGTGATTCAGACGTGCACCTCGAGGAGTACACTAAATTTTAAGTAAAATAAGCTAAGTAAACAAACTTTGTTGGATCAGACATTTCGCCCGTATTAACTACGCCATCATTCAGAAGATTTTGTTCCAATTAAAGGTAATGTCAATTATCCAATGCGGATTAACAGCGCAATACTTTCCCTTGCTATTAACATAAACAAGCTTGGATTAACCTTCTATGTTCTTTCAATATTAATAAAAGCAGAAGTATCCATTCTTATGAGCCAGCGAATTGGTGCTGGCTCTGCTGAGTTGCTGATTATAACATAGGGATGAGATTCATTACAAGGAGTCAAAAATTTTGTGTTTCTTAGACGAGAGCCGATATATAACACTAATAACCTTTAAAGTCGATGCCACCGCATTAGTGATACTAAAAATTAGAAAATCATGCTCTGAACGACTAAGTTACAGTCACTAAACCATCGTACATATGAGCTGCTCACCGCTTCAAAGCTGTAAAGCTATTATCCCATCGTGTCTATCTACATATATTGCTCACTGGCGACAAATGAATGCCACTGGTTACATGTTCACCAGACCTTACTAGCAACAGGCAAATCCTCATGTGGTAAGTCTAGTATCCAACATGGATATTTGGTCTCTTCGTGGTCTTTGGAACTTATCGATGCTCGCAATGACATCCCGGCTGGAAGCGAACACAATGAAACTCGCAAAGAACTGGCAAAACTCCGTGCTAGCCTGAAGACAGACAGTGAATTCTGGTGGTCTCTTCGTGCGTCAGATATGGAAGTGGCGGCTGCCTTTAGTAGCCCTCGAAAGTAA